GAGAACCTATTCAGTAAATGGGTACTGGGAAAATGGCTGACCACATGCAGAAGATTGAAACAGGACCCCTATCTATCCCCATGCACAAAGGTTAACTCCAAATGGATCAGAGACCTAAATGTAAAACCTCAAACCATAAGAACCTTAGAAAAGGAAGGAAATACTCTCATGGAAATCGGAACTGGCATCCAATTCCTGTACAAAACCCGAAACCCACAGGACTTAAGAGAGAAGATAGACAAATGGGACCTTATTAAACTGACAAGCTTCTGCAAAACCAAAGAAACCATCAAGAGAGCAGGGAGACAGCCTACAGACTGGGAAAAAGTATTTGCCAACTCTAGGTCTGACAAAGGCTTAACATCCTGGATCTACAAGGAACTGAAACATACTGAAAAAAAGAAAACAAGCAACCCCATAATAAAATGGGCAAAAGACAAGAACAGACACTTCACAAAAGAAGACATTCGAGCAGCCAACAAACACATGAAGAAATGCTCAACCTCACTAATCATCAGGGAGATGCAAATCAAAACCACACTGAGATACCACCTAACTCCAGTCAGAATAGCAATTATCAACAACTCAAAAAATAACAGCTGCTGGAGAGGATGTGGTGAAAAGGGAACACTTCAATACTGTTGGTGGCAGTGTAAACTAGTGCAACCTCTGTAGAAAGCAGTGTGACGATTCCTAAAAGCTCTAAAAATTGACCTTCCATATGACCCTGCAATCCCCCTACTGGGAATATACCCTGAAGAACACAAATCACTCTATAAAAAAGATACCTGCACACGTATGCTTATCCCAGCATTGTTCACAATAGCAAGAACCTGGAAACAACCATGCTGCCCATCAAAAGAGGACTGGATTAAAAAAATGTGGTACATATACACGATGGAGTACTATGCAGCCATAAAAAAGAACAAAATCATGAATTTCGCTGCAACCTGGATGGAACTAGAGTCTATAATACTGAGTGACCTCTCACAGAAACAAAGATCCGAATATCACATGTTCTCACTCATATAATGGACCTTGAACATCCAATGCAATACTATAAGAAAATGACTGACGGTACTGGGAAACTATGGGGGGGAGGGGGATGGGATTAACAGTAGCAAATATCTGTCGGGGGATGGGAAAACACCTCTTATCAACAGGGTGCCTAAATGAAACGTAATTGTACACCTAACCCTTAACTGTACCCCACAAAACCATAATAAAAAATAATGATTAATAAAAAAAAAAGTTTTTTTGTTTGTTTTCTTTTAACTTTTGGGTTGATGTATGTGTGTGTTTTCAATTTTGCAGTTACAATGTATTATCTGTTGATTTTGTGTTTTCCTAGTCTTTTGGAAAGTGTGCAGTCATTCTTTGTTTTTGTTTTGTTTTGTTTTCTTCTGTGCTTAATACCTTCTTAAGCATCTTCTGTAGAACTTATCTGGAAGTAGCGTTATCTCTTAAGGATTGGATGTCTGGGAAGGGTTTTAATTCTCCATCACTGATGAGCCTTAGCTTAGCTGGTAGGAAATTCTTGGTGGAATTGTTTATCTTTGAGAGTATTGAAGATTTGAGTGCAGTCTCTTCTAACTTGTACTGTATCTGTAGATAAATCTGCTGCTATTCTAATTAGTCTTCCCCAGTAGGTAGTCTGACCTTTCTATCTTGCTGCCTTTAGGATTTTTTTCTTTTATACCTAGTTGGTGTGAGTGAATTACTATGTGTCTGGGAGTTGTTTTTCTCATTTAATGTCTTACAAGGGTTCTCTGAAACTCTTGTGTTAGATGATCATATTTCTGATGAATAACATCATGGAATGCTTGTTCCAAGGAGTTCTCTGTTTCCCTTTCTGCCTCGGGAATGCCAATCAGGTGCAATTTCAGCCTCTTAATATAATCACATATCTCTTGGAGGTTTTGTTCTATCTTTTTAAGCTTCCCTTTTACGTTTTTAACAGTTTGGGTTAATTCCATACTTCAGTCTTCAAGCTCTGAATTTTTTATTTTGCTTAGTTAATGCCGCTTTCCATGCTTATCAGTTCGATGTTTATTTCATTCACTGTATTTTTTTTATTGTCATAATTTCAGTTATCAACTCCTTCATCCTTTCTTCTTACCTTTCTTCTTTTTCATTCATCCTCTCCATTATTATCTTGGTATCTGGATTTGTGGTTTGAGATAAATTGTTCTGGAGTCTCTTCATTGTTTGAGTTCCAAAGTCTGTATTCTCAGGAACTATCTTTCCAGGGTCTGGGGGATACCTGTGTTCTTCCGTTGGTTCTTCTTCTTTTGTGATGGATCTCTCCCCACCTTTTTCTCTGTTTGATCCATTGCTCAGTGGAAGAGAGCTTAGCTTTCCCTTTGTTTGCCTAACCCCCTATTCTTCCTTAGGTATAGTCTCTGGATTTGTTCAGTTTTGAAGATGTGCTGGAGGTGGGAAGATGTGCTGCCTTTTTGCAGTTTTGAGATTTGGTTAAGGTGTAATGAGGGAGTTGTGGTTCAGAAACTACCTGCAGATCACAGTATCCCACTGACTGGAACTTCAGGTTCCTTTCCTTTTTTTTTTTTTTCCTGGCATGTCCCAAGCACCATTGCTTTTGCCTTGCTGTGGAAGGGAGTGGGCTCTGGCCTCTAGACCCTCCCCTGCTCTCAGTGCTGGTGGTCAAGCTTTTCTCCACGTGGGTCAGAAGACCTATGGACTCCTGGGGGAAGGGGACTATTTCAGACCAAGACTCACTCCTACTCAAATGTTGCTAGATCTCCCAATCCAATTGCATGCATCTGCAAATGTTCCAGTGTGAAAGATGGGGCATCTGGGTTTCCAAGCTATCTGTCTGGTATTATGCACTTGGAGTATCCTCCCTGGACCAATGATGGTCAATCCCAGAGGGGTGCAGAGATTGCCCCTCAGTCGTAGGATGCAGGCTGCTCAGTATTGGGCATGCTATAGCAGGTCTCTGCTTGAGTTGTGGGGACAGAGAAGATGGTATCAGCCCATATCTTCTCCTCCAACAGGGCTCAGCTCAAGTTTTCCTCCCTGCGCTTTCTCCATGGGCCCTGCTGCCAGTGTCTAACCTATTGTCACAGTTACTGAGGTCAGGCTAGGTGCCAGGTGCTGAGAGAAGGCTGATCTCTGCTGTCTTTTCCCAAGAGATGCCCTGAGAATGGCAGATGACCCTGCATACAGGGGGTACCAAATTCAGAACAATGTTAAATTACTGCTGCTTCTGCAGGGGAGCCCCAGATGCTTATTCCCGTATATCCCCTCAGTTGGAAATTCTCTCACCCACTTGCACACATGAATGCACACAGATTAATTCTTATGCATACTCACCCAATCCAGAGACACACACTCCAACTGGATCTGTTACTATCTTGTCTCCTTCTCTATGTGAATTAACTTGCTTCATCTGTCTATGTCCCCTATTTTTTTTCTTAATTTGTGTTAACGTGAAGTAGTTTTTCCCAGACACCTGTAATTATATTAGTTGAAGTTCAGTATTTAATATTATGGCCTGGAGAACAATCAAGAGTAAAAGTGGTAACAGCAGAAGTAAGTAGGGTGTGTGTGTGTGTGTGTGTGTGTGTGTGTGTGTGTGTGTGTGTGTGTGTATCTTTGTTGGTTGACAATCATAATCTGAGAAACTTGGAACTCACTGAGTGACAGATTTGCATTAACTTTTGTTTCCTAACTTATTCAGAGCTGGGTACTCTAGTGGTGACTTTCATCGATGTCATCAACAGTGAAGAGGTACTTTGTTTAGAGAATGTGATGACAACTCTGGACTTAGCTGCTGTGCAGAAGGCAGCTGATCACTACAGCCAGCAGATGGTCCAGCAAGTGAGGTTCCCCACAGACACACTCCAGGAGCTGCTGGATGTTCACGTGGCCTGTGAGAGGGAAGCTGTTTCAGTCTTCATAAAGTATTCTTTCAAGGATGGAAAGGGGGAGTTCCAGGAGAAGCTCATGGTAATTTTGCTTAGCATTTGACCTTCCTCACTGAGGTTCTTCTGGAATGATGCCTAGAGTTCTACGTGTTGATCCCACGGTTCATCTCCTATTCATGGTAATATAGTATGGATTCTTATCCAAGAGAGAATTCTAAAAAACTTTGCTTCCTTCTTTTGTACCAAAGCTTGGGAAATTTATTCAGAATCTTTCCTCCTGTAGTGCCTAGTGATATGTTCTAGAACTCTTGTAAGTCATTACTTAGCTGTTCACCCTCTCTCTCTCTCTCTCTCTCTCTCTCTCTCTCTCTATCTCTCTCTATATATATATATATATATATATATATATATATATATATATATATATACACACACACTCCCTCTTCAAGATCTTGGACAAAATCTCTTAATAGGTTATTTATATTTATTTTGTTTTCATGTTATAATTGTGTTATTGAAGACAGAATTACAGAATGTTACATCTACTAAGAACTATAGAGAATATATAATGCCACCTCAGCCTTTCACAGATGAAGAACCTTCAGCTCAGGGAGGTTAAGAAGTTTTCCCATAGTCTTACAGAGAGCTTTCAGAGTTGGGAGTAAATTGAATCTCCTGATTCTTGCTATATTGCCTGTGCTGCTCTTTTAGAATGTTTCTCTCAATAGGAGCACAGTTAGACCACTCATCTAATAGATGATTTGAAATTATCTTTATGTTCTCTTTTTCTGGTGACCTTCTTCTGTATATCTCTTACAGGAAACCATAAAAAATAAGAAAGAAGAATTCTTGCTGCAGAATGAAAAGGCATCTTTTACATTTTGCCAGTCTAAACTTAATCAGATTTCAAAAACCCTAATGGAAAGTTTTTCATCAGGAAGGCTCTATGTTCCTGGAGGATACAACCACTATAGGGATGCAAGGAAACTAATTGAATGGAGCTACTCACAAGTGCCTAGGAAAGGAGTTAAGGTGAGCTATATGGGAGCATGGAGAAGCTGATAGAATAGAGTCAAGGGGGGATCTCCTGAAAATCTGGAGCACAGCACCAGCTGTGGGTAATACACTGAACATGGGATACATATATCACTACTAAGTTTTAATGTTTAAAATGTTTTATTTATTCCTGAAGAGAATAGAAATGTTTATTTCCAAATAAACAGTATAGAAATTATAAATTCAGGTGAGACAGAACAGAATTATGTATTTCATCATCCAATAATGTATTAGACATTTTGCCAAGTGCTAAGAATTTGCAAGGCAGCATCTTTGAAGTCAAGGCTGATCAAAGTGACAGAGATTCAAATAAATAGATAATTACATACAGTGTTATAATGCTAATGAGCCTGTGATCCTAGACTGCTTTGGTGATGGTACTGAATGCAATAATAATAATGCAACTAATATACATTTAAGAATTAATGCCTGTGTGACAAGCATACTATTATGATCTTTCCCTAGATGTTTTAATTTAATCCTCCGTAGAATGTTATGAAGTATCTATTCATATTATCTACATTTAACAGCAGTGAACTGAGAGGAATAGGCTGGATAAAGAATTTGTCTAAAGTTGTACTTCCAGCAAGTGGTGGAGAGTAGCAGCAGAGACTGGAGGCTACATTTCATATTTAGCATGTGGTCTAGGAAAACTTTCAGGAAGAAAAGTATGATATATTTGTAAATTATCTTAGTTTGTGCTGTGACAACAAAATACCATAAGCTGGGTGACTTATAAACAGCATAATTTATTTTTCTCACAGTTCTGAGTTGGGGAAATTCAAGATCACGTTACTGGCAGGTTCAGTGTATGGTGATAGCATACTTTCTGATTCATAGATGGCACCTTCTCCCTGTGTTTTTACATGGTGGAAGAGGAGAACTCTGGTATCTTCAGCCCCTTAAAAGGACACTAATCCTATTCATGAGGACTCCACCTTCATAACATAATACTCCCCAAATGCCCTCCTTCGTAATGTCATTACATTGTGTTACATTTCAACACAATAATTTGAGGAGACATAAGCATTCAGACCACTCAGCCATGTAGTCCAGGTTGATACATCATCCAAGAGGAAGCGCCACAGATAAACATGCACATACATATGAACATCAGAGATTGTGGATTGTACAACTGCAAATAATTGTGATTGACTGAAATCAAGAGAATGTAGAAGGAAATAGCACTGGAAGGAGCACTGTGAGACAGAAAGTAGGAGATGAGGAGGGTCTCTAGTCACACTAAGGATCTGGCATATTTTGTAGGGGTCTTCTAGAACATTTTAAGCAGAAAGAAAAATGACATGGAAGGACCTGTTTGTGCAAAACAAATCTCCATACCGGAAATCTAAGTTCTTTGCTCCTTCTTGGTTCCTCAGGCAAACGAGGCCCTCCAGCATTTCCTGAAGTCACAAGTGGCAATAGAGGAATGCATCCTGCAGGCAGATAAAACCCTCACTGATGAGCAAAAGGCCATAGCAGGTATGGGGCAGGGCTCAGTTCACAGTGGAGCAACTTGATTTTTTGCAATGCTCTCTGACAGATGTGAGAGGAAGAGCTTTCTGAAACTGTAGCTTCCTCTTTTTCTTCAGAATGCACATGCTACTAAACCTGAATGTAATAAAGGGAGAGTGCTTGTAAGTCAACTTGGCAGTCAGGGACTTTCCCATCACATTCTCAACCCTGTCACTGATCCAGTGGTGGCGCCACTGGATGAAGTTTGAATTTTCCCACCCTTCCTTTTAAATTTGATTGGACTATGATCTCAAGAGGGTAGAGCTTAGGATTGACCTATTTGTTTTTACTTTTTCTAAACCCTTCATGGAGTAGCAGAGAGGGCCAGAAAGGAAGCAATTAAGAAAGAACAGGAGCTGTTAAGACAGGAACAGAAGGAGCAGCAGAAGATGGAACCTCAAAAGGGAAACTTGAAGGAAAACGTAGTTCAACTGAGAGAGAAGCTGAAGATGAAAAGAGACAATGATCTGGGAGAGTTAACAAGGATCCTGGAGCATAAATTGAAGGTATGTCTGACTGTGGCTTCCATAATTCATGACCAGTCATTGGCTTGGTACCTCATAAAAATATGGTGAAGGTTAAAGCAAAATCATAAAGAAAAACACTATTCCCATTTACTGAATTTGATTTACTAGAAGTCCTAAATCTGATTTTCCCAGAAGTCTCTGAGTTTTTCTTCACTCAGAATTTGGGAGTATCTTGTCCCCCTCCATGTTCTGGGAGAACAGAAATAACTTATCCAAGGGTTAAGCTGTTATTTTGGTGAGATTCTAGGATGACCTCATGGAGTTCAAATTAAATAAGCTTTCATGGATTTTCAAGTAGATAGTCCAACCAGGTGGATTTAATAAAAGCAGCAACTTTTTTTTCCTAAAGTCATTGACAATGATCAAAACCCCTACCAAAGATCCTGATTTCAACCCATGCTGATCTAAACCTATCAGATGTAACCATCCTTAGTAATGTGAGGAACTGTTACCTTCTAAAACTTGCTGCAGGTATCTCCAGGTGTGGATAGCCTGCCAAGTTACCACTCAGTGTTGGGGGAATCCTCTCTTTTCCTACTTGAAAGTGTTTATATCAGATTTCCTGATCAGATTATGAATTCCACAACATGTGTGACCATGTCGTTCCAAAGGGGAACTGAGAATTTATGTAAGTGGACTCATGGCTTCCCCTAATGGGCTCTTTTGGCTGGATGTATTATAGTACTTGTCCTTATGTCTGACTTAGCACCCTAGCAAACCTTGATAGTGGGCAAATATTGGTAAGGCTGTAAACTATGCTTCCTCCCTCTGTTCTCTCCAAGCCAAAATATATTTTTTGCTTCAAATATTATTCTAGCATGATCTAATAATACAGAATACTTTTTTGCACAAAATAGAGACAATTTTCCAAACTTCTTAAATATAAAATCTAACTCTTGAAATAAATTTTTAAAGTTTTCTTTTTCTTTTCCTCCCATTCTTTTGTTTTAGATTTAGGAAGAATTATTAGAAGATGAATAAAGAGCTAAACCATCTGAGAAATTTGAATGAAGTTACTAGAAATAATATAACTCTGGATTGCATGGACCCTGGATAAACTTTCCATTGAAGCAACTATAATCTTGTCTGTTCCTGCCAAACTAGTTTGTGTGGGCTGAATACTTGAGCTTATTGTTAGATAGGATTAACTTTTATTTTAGAAAACTATGCTCTGGTCTAATTTTGGTGTGTATGCTTTTAATTTTCAATCAGTACATCTTTAAATAAAATAAGCAACTAATAGAAAAAACCAGAGCCTGGCAGGTATTCGAATAAATCTTGGTTTTCTTAGTTTAAGAGGAAAAGAAACTACTGTTTAAAAAATGGGTTGACATATTGTGGCCAGGTGCTGGGTGGGGGTCAAATCTTGTTTGCTGCTGGTGTTTATAAATGAAGTTTTATTGGGACACAACCATGCTCATTCATTTGCATATTTTCTATGGCATTTTTATACTGCAACAGGAGAGCTGAATAGTTCTGAAAAACACTATATGACCCACAAACCTAAAATAGTTACTTTTGGACCCTTTATAGAAGGATTCTTTTTTTCATAGAAAAAGGTTGCCTCCTGCTTAGGAGATTTAGAGGAAGACATCAAATACGAAATAGAGATAAAACTTTTCCTTGGAATAAACCTATCAAGAATACTGAAACTAATCACAAAATAAGAATTATAGCGCGCACACACACACACACACACACACACACACACACACACACACACATTCAAGTCAGTTTTCTTCTAACTCACTCATAAATGTAATGCTTTCTGAGGTTAAAAAAAAAAGACAGAGAGATGTGTTTCGAAAGATAGGAGTACCTCCATACAGTTTTAAGTAGAAATGTTTAAAATGCTTTGAAATAGTTCCAGTGTAATACAGAAGAGTAAATAAAAGAGACCCTATCTATGCCATATGAAAACCTATGCTAGGGCTACAGTTATTAGACCAGTACAGCACTGGATCATAACTAGCAAAGGTGTAGGACAGTCTACATAGTCTAGAGACAGAAATAAATATTTTGAGGAATTGTTTATTTTAAGGATCTTATTTAAGGGCAGTGGGAAATAATGCAGTGGTCAATAAATTACCTAAGACAACTGGACTGCTACATAAAGAAAACAGAGATTAGAACTAATAATTATCTTATAGCTGAGTAAATTCCAGATTTACCATACATTTAGGCATGAAGATTGAAAATTTTAAATCTCAAGTTATTTAAAAAATAACTTTGTAATATGGAAGTCCTTTCTAGGCATGACATAAAACCTAGAGGACATAAAGTAAATACAAACATGCAAAAAACCAAAATAAATACTTTGTTAAAAAATTAGAAGACAATATTCTGAAAACATTTTCAATTCATGTCATAAAAAGAGATAATTTACTTATTTAAATGATGTTCAAGAAAAAGAACTTAATGTGTAGAAGTATATAGTTCATAGCAAATAAATAAATACGACTTCACTCATAATTTAAAAACTGAAATTAAAAGTACAAGACATAATCTTTCACTTGGATTGACAAGAATCAATAAATTTGATAGCAAATTATTGTTGAAAAGGAATTTTCATTTTCAAAGAGTTGCTCTCATATGGATAGTAAATTGTACAATATCAGTTGAAAAGTGGTCCTAATACTTAACACATTTTAGTTTACAAATACTTTGATCTAGCATGTTTTGAGGAAATAGATATATGCAAAATTATGCATGTATATGTGTGTGTATGAGGAAGGGATTTCTCCCCAAACCAGAATCATCTTTTAGGGAGTGAGCCCCTTGTACAAGCTTCCCCTGCTAGGAACCCACCTGCATCACTGTACCAGTTAGCATTGTTGCAAGAGGCTGTGTGTGTCTTCAGGAAATATATATATATATTTTTGGAGATATCGTTCTTTTTTTTAATTTAATTTTATTTATTCTTCAATTTTTTAATTATAAAGATATGGGGTACAATTCAGAATTAGGTATAACGTTGATTATGCAGGTAGGTACCCTTGTTAATGAGGTATGCCCCTCCCTCCCCTAGCAGTTTCCCTCAGCTGCCAATTCCACCCCCTGCCCTGACAGTTTCCCGCTACTGCCAATCCCTTTCTTATAGTATTATAATTGTTCAAGTTTTGCTTATGAGTGAGAACATATGATACTCTATTCTTTGTTGCTGTGATAGATCACTGAGTATGATCAACTCCAAATCTTTCCAAGTTGCTGTGAAGTCCATATGTTTGTCCTTCTTTATGGCTGCATAATATTCCATTGTGTATATGTACCATATTTTTTTTATCCAGTCCAGCTTTGATGGGCAACATGGTCGATTCCATGTTTTTGCTATTGTGAATAGAACTGCAACAAATATATGTGTGCAAGTATCTTTTTTGTAAAATGATTTGAGTTCTTCTGGGTATATTCCCAATAGGGACATTTCTGGATCATATGGAAGGTCAATTTCTAGTTCTTTCAGAAATCGCCACATTGTCTTCCAAAGAGGTTGCACTAGTTTGCATTTCCACCAGCAGTGTAGAAGCATTCCTTTTTTGGAGATTTCTTTCAATGCGTTTGTCCATCTCATGATGAGTGATTTCTTTCACCATGACAACGCACCCACCCACACTGCAATGAGTGTTCAGGAGTTTCTGAACAAAAACAGCAGAACCCCCATGCCCCACCCTCCCTCTTCACCCAATCTCACCCTGAGCAACTATTTTTTGTTGTTGTTTTCCTGGATGAAAAATGTCCTCAAAGGAAAACATTATGCAATGTGGAAGAGGTGAAACAAAAAATGGCAGAAACGCTAAAAGGAATCAAAATTGATGAATTAAAAAATGGTTTTGAACACCGGAAAAGCTTCTTGGTAGGTGTATCTCATCAAACGGAGAGTATTTTGAAGGTGGCTAAAGTTTCAACACATATGAACAAACACACAAGTTTTTTATAAACTCCGATTTTGAGGGGTCTTCCCTCATATGTGTGTTCACAAGAAGTTCATTGTAGCATTTTAATGGCAAAAGATTGGAAACTACATGGGATTGGCAATAACATAAAGTTTAACACATACATATTGTAGAGTTCTAGGTAGGCATTACATAATTTGGCAAGAAAGTTTATATGCCACATAATCATACACAACTATCTTTAAGATATATTGCAAAGTCATAAAATGAAGTGCGAAATATTATATGTAGTGAGATTTATCTAAAAAATGATTCATGAGAAACTGGTATCATTGGTTTTTTCAGGTGGAACTAGGTAGACTTAGGGGTAGGAAAAATACTTTTTATTATGTACTCCATCTTTCGAATTTCGTGAAGTGAGAACTAAACTCAGACCTTTATTCTCTTATCCAAATTCCTAAGAGACTTAGAGAGTCACACCTAATAAGGACTCACCACACAGGGTTTTATTACCCTTTTATCCTATGCACTGTTTTCTGTTTCCCAACCTGACTCTGGTATAACATTATATAGCTGATAAGAAAGGAAATAAATGCACTTTATGATCCTGCAGAGCCATCTCCTGAGGACGTCTAGACTCTGGGAACTTTGTCAGACATTTATCTATCCTCTCTGATGTCTGTCACATATAGAACTTTATCTACATATCAACTAACTTGTGGGTTTTCTCACCCTCTTATCTCAACAAGCCATCTCCTCTTCCTTCCATAGGAACTACAAATCACTATTCAAAAAATCCTTAAATCCACCTATAACCTGCCAGCCCCCACTTGGAAATGTCCTGCCTTCCCGGGTTGAGCTAATGAATTCTCACATATATTGACTTATTTTAAACTTCTGCCTCCCTAAAATGTATGTAATCAAACTGCAATTCACCCCAGACACATGCTCTCAAGACTTCTTGAGACTTGGTCTTGGGCCTGGCCACTTATATTTTGGCTCAAATTAATCTTTTCAATCATATTTGGTTGAACCTGGAATTTTTACATCATCAAAAGCTTATATTACCTACCCAGATATAAAAGAAAGTAACTGAAAAGTATAATACCAATAATGGTAATTAATTCTAAAAGAAATATTAAATTGTCCATCATATAATAAATTGCTCATTGCTCCTAGAAATGACATTAGCTAGCTCAATGAGGGATCTAAGACTAAGACTCAAGATAGTGAATGCATAAAATTTGCATGTGAATCTTATTTCATTTTGGCCATGTGTGGTATTATGATGTATATGCATATTGGGTTTTGTTCATGGTTCCTGGCTTATGACGCCCATAGCCCTTGGTATTTCCTAAGTGGGTAAAACAATAAGTACATTTTTTGTTAAAGTTTTTGTCTTTTTTTCCCTTGATTCCTTCAGAACAGCATCAGAGCAACCAAAGTGAAAAATAGTTTCTTTTCTTGTCTGCTCTGCTTTTCCCCTAAGGCAGGAATCTTTCCTGCCTCTCTGTCTTGGAGCTTATCATAAAGAAATTCTCCAAACTACCCTATCTGTAAGTCCCAAGACTCCCATTTCAGAAGGAATACTGCCTCACACACGTGACTGCAGAGAGGCCAAGAAGAATCTGGACAGGCCTTACTGGGTTCCCCCACTCAAGCAATTAGTATTATACCATGCCCGTTTTGTCCAATCACATTTCTACACAGTTGTTCATGCTTCAGTCATGCCTATCCAATGATGTCTCCATGAAAGGCTCAATA